CATAATAATCATATACATTGTATATTGACAAAATAAAAATTTAACGAAAAAAAAAATCAGATTTTCAGCACACAAAAAAATAAATAAGTAAAGTGCATCACAATATAATAAACTCCCTTTTATGTAAAAAAAAAAAAAATTAAACTTCTAGATATTAGTGTGGCATTTATCATTTTGGTATCTAGAGCAGTGGTTCCCAACCCCAGATGATCATGAGAATCCACCCATAACCCTACTTAAAAATAAATAAGTAAAGTGCATCACAATATAATAAACTCCCTTTTATGTAAAAAAAAAAAATTAAACTTCTAGATATTAGTGTGGCATTTATCATTTTGGTATCTAGAGCAGTGGTTCCCAACCCCAGATCATCATGAGAATCCACCCATAACCCTACTTCCCCAAGATTTTGTTTCAGTAGGTCCAGAGTGGAGCCTAAGAATAGAATTTTTTTTCCTGTGGACTTTTGATGATCAACCAAATTTATCTGATATAGATAAGTAGGTATTTTATAGTTCTCTTTTTAGTTTAACTTCATTTAATAGGTTGTGATAGACAAGCATAACCAGTAAGCAAAGAAAATGTAGTTTTCCTTCCTTCTATTCCTAGGCCTGGGTGTTTACCCTAAAGTACAATGAATGCCATTGTAGGATTCTTTTTTCCTTAGCAATTGAACAGAGCTATACATGCCAGTGTCCCACAATGTCAGTTGCCTCCTTCACCTAGAAGCTTGTCTGACACTTGTAGTGTGGGATTAAACAAGATAACTACATGAATAAGCATGCTGAATTGGTTACCGAGTATCTAATTGGGACTGATTTGTTAATCCAATTTATGAGAATGGTGGTTCCTCAGTTCTACAGTTATCTAGCATATATATGGTAATCCTTAGCCCTGCAAAATAGCTGAAGACCAGAAAAATGGGGTAAGTCAGGACTTGAAGAGAATGGTAATGGCTCTGAGGAAGTACACAATCATAGAAAGATTGTGCTGGAATTCCTCAGGGGTGGCAGTGGTGTAAGTTGGTAGGTGGAGCTTTGAGCCTCTTCAGCTGGAGTAGCTCTGGCTCTATCTACTATTGGGCTTCGTTTGTAGAAAGAATTCCAGTACTTGAAAGGAAAAAGGTTAAAAACCAATTCAGAGTACTTTTGATGAGAAGCTTGAAGCTCAGAGAGGTACCCAAAGTAGTGTAGTTATTAGGAGCAGGGGCCAGGACTAGAAATAAGATCTCCTTTCCTAACAAGAATACTAAATCTTTTTGAGTCTCAGTAAATAACTGAGTGGTCTGGGAAGAGTTTTTTAAAAATGAGGTTATGGCCTGGTGTAATGTTGTTACAACTGACCGCAATGATTCTAAGTTAACATGACCATATTGAGGCAGGTCTGCTGTGTTGTTCATGAAGACAGGGAAGTGTGTCTTAGCGCCATAGCTTTTCATTCTGTCTCTCTTTCACCACCGTAGGACACTTCATCCCCTGACCATGCTGGATAACTAATGCTTTACTATTGACTACCCATCCCATTTTCATGCCTTTAACATACAAAGAGAATCTGGAATTATAGTCTGTATTAAATCAGTGGCCACTCGGAACTGGCACTTTAAATTCAAAAACATTAACTGGATAATCCTGATCAGACTGTTGTTCAAAGAGCATTTTAACTGGGTAACAAAGTAAATTAACATTATATTTAGATTTCATTATGCTTTTCTTATAAAGACTGATTTCCCATTTTACCTTAGGTATATTTGTGAAACTTGTTGCAGAATGTTTGACTACTTGAATTCAACAGAACATATCATGTATTTTGCTTTGTAGACATTTATGTCAGTGTCATTCTCTAAGAAACAAATAGAGAAGTAGATAATCTTCTCTAGACAGATTTTTTACCTTTTGGAAAAGAATATCAATTTACTTAAAAATTACAAGCTGTATTAAGTTGACATTGGTGGTCATCAGAAGTCTGGGAGCTAAAGTTTATTTCAAAAGTCTTATTAGGTGTATTTGCATTTCTTGAGATATGGTTTAAATTCTCTGTCTACTGTTGTAAACACCTCCTTATTTCAGATATCTTTCCTTAAAGTGCCTCATAGCTTCTCATGTTGCTGTACCCATGCAGAAATGCTGCTGCTCTTTCTTGCCGTTTATCCAAATGGGCCTGAAAATTCAGTGTAGCCACAATCACTTCTGTCCGTGAATGCATGTGGTTTGTATCCCAGGAGAGCACTTAGTCTGCCTTGCTGTTTGACATCAATTGTGATCTATAACTGACTGTAAAATCCCATATATGATTCCTTCGGCTGTCTGAAATCTTAGAGCCATTAATGGTAAGTCTCTCATCTACAATTTGACTGATAAACTGCTCTTCACATTGTTCCCATTTTCTATTTATTGTCACATCATTTAATATGTGCTGTCAGGGTAGCAGGATTTGTGGCTACTCATAACTCTGTCACATCATTTCTTCTTTACTGACCTGTTAAGTAAAGGAAACGTTTGATACATAAATAAATACAAGGGCCGGCCTGTGGCTCACTCGGGAGAGTGCGGTGCTGATAAATAAATACAAGATGGTATTTATTCCTATATAAGACCTTTATTCTTATATAGGTCCTGTCCCTGCTATCAATGGGGCACTGAAGAAAACAGGACTGACTCTTAAGGACATGGATTTGGTAGAGGTAAGTGTTCTTTTCTTACAACCTGAATAAACCACCTACTTTTATAGCATATATAGCTTTAATTTGGTATCATATAACTTTTTGTTTTAGTATGGTTAAACTTTCCAAATGATGTACATCTAAACAAGTATCACCTTTATTACATGCCTTGTGTTTGTACTTTTTCCCAACTGATTAAAATGCTTTACTTATATTTGAATAATTCAAACTGCTTGATTTTTCCTACTAAAGTATAAATTCCTGGAAACTTCTTAGGACTTTTATATAACTCTGTTACATTTTAGACTATTGATGTGTCTGTTGAATGGAAAATGGAGTATTATATAAGGTGAGAGAGAAATAAGTAACTTTAGCTCTATTTTATAGATTAAAGTGAAAAAATATAGGTAAAGTAATTGACCTAATAGAATAGCAATATGTAGTGCCAAATCTAGAAGTTTCTTACCCTTTCCCCCAAGTTGAGCCTCATCCCAAACTTATCTTTAGCTTTTTACACTATAGTTGTGGTTTGATTTGGGATGCACTTTTCATAATTTTTAACACTGGAAACTTAAATGTATTTATGAGTGATTTTTTTTTTTAATGTTAGAGTTAAAACAAAGATGTCATAAGCATTTAGCATAATTAAAAGGTGAGATGCAGAAGAAAATACTTAAAGATGGATTATATACCTTCCACATTTTGGCAGTACAGTCGGATGTCACTTCATGTGGATATGTTCTGAGAAATGTGTCATTAGGTGATTTCCTTGTTGCATGAACATCGTCAAGTGTACTTACACAAACCTAGATAGTACAGCCTACTACACACTTAGGCTGTATGGTATAGCCTACTGCCCTGACCACTGTCATATATGCAGTCTGTCATTGACTGAAACATCATTAATGCAGCACATGACTGTATTTGAAAATTTTAGCATGTGCTGCTTAGCATTAGGAAATAACTAATATAACAAAGGAGATCTTTCTATTTAAGTTGAGAAGCAGTAGGCACTAGTGATTTCCTCTGTAGTAATCTGTCACCCAGGAAACCATGGTTTCGGACAAATGATTTATCCTTAAATCTTTTCCTTTCTTAGTAGATCACAGCTCAGAGTCTCAACGGGGCTGCATAATTCCATATTTGTGTCAGCAATTAACTACCACTAAATTTCTGACTTTAGACTTCATACTTAAAACTCAATTCAAATACATCAACTCTGCAAAGCTGTTTATAATGATTTATAGATATATAAATACTCAAAGACATAACTTGCAAACAGTTCTAGGTTCAAAAGCCTAGTTTCACAACATGTTTTAGGTTTCTTAATACCTCCTTGAAGATGACTATATTCAAGGGTACTTCAGAAGTTTATGGAAAGATTTGTATTCTTTCAATTCTATTTTTCCATGAACTTTTGATGGGCCCATGTATAAAATAGAAAAATAATGGAACTAAAACAAATAAGGCACCATCTTG